ACAGATGAGTAAATCAATTACTGCACCAATCTAATCTGTTTCCCAAACTAAGTACCTTCCGGGAAATTTCAAAACTTCTTCCTACTAATTTCTCCCTAAACAAAAATCTTAATTGAAATTATCAATTTATCTGTCTATCCATCCATCTATCTATCATCCATCTATCTAATTGGAGATTGGGAAATTGTTCTAGAAGCTGATGAATATATGATCCTTTTCCCCAATCCTGTCTTTACATTGACAAGGGGCAACACCTGATAAAGATTCAAAAAGGTTAATGGAAAGATTTCTGCGTCAGGACAGGCTTCTTTTGCCTACTTTCTAGTGGAAATCTCTCTGAAAATATTTGCAGTGCCCGTATCTGTTGGTCAAATGTCTGATGCAGAGAAGACTAATTGACTGATATAATACAATAATTTTAGTGAAAATCTTATCTTCTTCCTTTAAAGTACTCCCCACACCAGTGAAGCCTTACAGTTTAGGATACTAGGGAATAGAGGTGTGTTCCAGTTTCACAAGTGCATTTGGACTTCACAATTTAGGCTTTCCTTTTCAATAACCAGCCAGGCTTTGGGACTTGTTTGATGTATGCAAGGCATTCTTCATAAAAGAGAAATAGGAGAGAGCATCTCTCTCATACACATGGCTCTATTGCCTATAAATACTGTTGCGAGATATTCTGAGTAAACTTTTCCAATACTAGACCTCTCTAGAAGTTAATCTGGGAGCTTCCATTAAGAGTCAAATCAGTAGGGGCCCCTGGGTGGCTCAGTTGGTTAAGCAACTGCCTTCATGATCTCAGGTCCTGGGATTGAGCCCCATGTGGAGCTCCCTGCTCAGTGGGGAGTCTGCTTCTGCTTCCCACCCTACCGCCCCGCTCATGCTTGCTCTCTCTCTCAAATAAATAAATAAAATCTTTAAAAAAAAAAGTCACATCAATACAAGCAGTCATCAGGGGCTCAATTTTCCTGATAAACCACTTTGTCATGACTTGCTCTGGAAAAATACAAGTTCCTAAGTTTATGCATGTTTGTTACCTAAAAGAGATTTGATAATAGATCATATTTACTTCATACTCTGAATTTAATACATTTTTAGATTATAATCTAAGAGTGTATTTTTCTTAAGTCTTTATTTAAATTCCAGTTAGTTAACACGCATTGTAGTATTTGTTTCAGGTGTACAACACAGCGACCCAACACCCCTGTACAACACCTGGTGCTTGTCCCAAGTGCCCACCTATTTAACCCCTCCCACCCCTCCCCTCTGGTAACCATCAGTCTGTTCTCTATAGTTAAGAGGCTGTTTCTTGGTTTGCCTTTCTCTCTTTTTGTTCCTTTGCTCCTTTGTTTTGTTTCTTTTTTTTTTTTTTTAGGTTTTTAAAAAATTTTTTAAAAATTAAAAAAACTTCCTTCTGCCCCTCTGCTGCCAACCTAGTAAAGTCCTGACATTTCTCAGAGACAGCTTAACAATGCCACGTCCAAGATGCTTCTTTCCTATCAATGATAACAAAGAGAAACTTATAAATTGGTTAGTTCATTAGCTGTACATTTTATCATACATTGTCACCTCAGGACATCCAAAAAGCTTAGATGTTACAAAATAATGAAACTTGTCCAGAACAAACACAGGTACTTAATAAAAATGCCCATACAGACCTATGGTTATAACCTAGAACGGTCTTCTAGATGTGGAGACACTAGCAAAAAGCCCTTCCCTTCACCCCTCCTTTGCTCCCTCCACCATTTTAATGACTAAGTATAGGACCACATCTAGCTCTAAGAGCTGGATTAACAGACACTCCCAGAACAGTCCTTCCTAAAAACTAACAAAAGGGCATTCATAAAGGGATTACTTTACTACCTCTACTTTTAATATACTTTGGGCATTAGGACTTGTTTATCCTTTGACACACAGCATTATTAACTAAAATGCACATACAGAACTTTAAAGACTCACCGGCACAGAACCCTTCTCTCCTCGCTTCCTTCCCTGGCCCTGGCCCTGTCCCCCAGTGAACCCAGTGAACACTCAGCATACTCTCCAAGACATCAAGTTTAACAATTCCATTCCCCAAATACAGACATTCCTGTAAATTAACAATACTTAAAGGGTGTTGTTACTCTAATTCTCTACTTCTAACGTGTTGTTCACTTTCAAACATCAAGAAGACTAGATGTTTCAAGTAAGGAGTTATTTAAAATTTGCCCACTACATATATAATAGCATGGAAAGAACATTCTGGCCTAGAACCCTTCCTCTTCTCATCTCTTATCAATCTAGTGGAAAGTATAAGCATCTGTAGTGCTTAGAGGGGATTTTAACAATTTGACTTCCTCTAGTTGTTTTCAGAATAGTCTTTCCTATGAATTTGAACACAAATGTATTAGTTTACTACTCTGTTTTTGTCATACACTGGCAACCTCTTTAACATCTAGAAAGACTAGATGTCGTAAATTAGGACTCATTTGTCCTTTATATACACTATATACACAGCTAAGTAAAACAAAATGCAGACATACAGGACAATGGTTAATCCTGCCTAACTATAAACATACTGGTATAAAGCCCTTTGCGCTTTCTTCTCCTTCCTCCCTGAACCAGCACAAATATCATGTAATGTGTACCGCTGGGAGAGGTGGTTTGATCACTTTGATCATTCCATTTTCAAAAGACGATATTTCATATGAATTTTAACAAAAGGATTATCTACAAAATGTGTTCTTTTACTACCTCTAATTTTAACACACGTTGTGCACTTCTAAACATCTAGAAAGGCTAGATGTTTCAAATAAGGACTTAAGTTTGTCCACTATATACATAGTAGTGTTGAATAAACTACACACATGTAACAATGGGTTATATCTGAAAGTGTCTTCTGCATGGGAACATTCTAGTCTAGAACCCTTCATTTCTCACAACTCCTCTCTACCACCAGCCCAGCGGATGAGTGCAGACAGGCACGTGTTACTTAGATGTGACTACAATGTCATCTCTAAAGGTCCTTTTCAGAAGACAGCCTTTCGATGAATTTTAACACAAAGTGTACAAAATGTGTTAGTTTACTAACTCTACTTTTGTCATACACTGGCAACCTCTTCAATATCTAGAGACTAGATATTGTAAAATTAGGACCTATTTGTCCAGTATATGTACAATATATACAGTCAAGTTAGATGCACATAACATACAGGGCAATGGATAAGCTGAAATTTCCTAGCATACACTAGCAAAGCATCTTTTGCAATTTCTTCCCTCCCCCCTCCCTCAAACCACTGAACAAGTATATTGTTCAGAGAGGTGGTTTAGCAATTCCATTTCCAAAGATAATAGTTCCCATCAGTTTTTAAAAGCTACTTACAAGAAGCGTGACTCTACTTCTACTTTAAAATACATCAAGCATTTCTAAATATCTAGAAAGACTAGATTATTTCATATAAGTACTTGTCCACTATGTACACAACAGCACTGCTAAATAAAATTGCACATACCTAACAATGGGTATAATCTGAGGTATCTTCTAAATATGACCACCATTTTGGCCTAAACTATTCCCTCACTTCCTTCTCTCCACCACCAATCCAGTAGACAAGTATAGGCATGTGTAATGCTCAAAGGTGCTTAAACAAATTCATAACCAAAAGTCATTTATAGAAGAAAAGCTTTCCTTTGAATTTCAACACAATATGTACAGAATGTGCTAATTTTACTGCTTTGTCATACACTGGCAAACTCTTTAACATCTAGAGACTAGACGTTGCAAAATTAGTAGGACTCATTTGCCCATTATATACACTATATACACAGCAAAACAAAATGCACAGAACATACAAAAAATGGTTTTGTCTGAAAATGTGCAAACAGGAACACACTAGCCTATTACCTTTTGCAATTCTTTCCCTTCCCACTCCTCTGAACCACTGAACAAAGATACACGACAGTATACTGCTCAGAGGTAGTTTAACAATTCCATCCCCAAGACAGTTACTTCCTACGAATTTTTAGGAAAAAGATATTTACAAAGTGATATTTTACTACCTCTACATTTAACATACGTTGGGCACTTCTAAACATCTAGGCAGACTAGATGTTTTAAATAAGGACTCATTTGTCCAGTATATACACTATACACATACACAGCTAAGTAAAACCAAGTGCAGGAACATAAAGGACAATGGTTGATCTTCCCTCACTATAAACACACTGGCAGAGCTCTCTCACTTCCTTCTCCGCCCTCCTCCTCTGAACCAGTGCACAAACACAGTGTGTACTATTCAAAGAGGTGGTTTGGCCATTCCCCCCAAATTAAACAGCATTTCATATGAATGTTAAAAGCTATTTACAAGAATGTCTTTTTACTACCTCTATTTTTAACATGTGTCAGGCACTTCAGAACATCTAGAAAGACTAGATATTTCAAAAAAGTTCTTAGCATTGTCAACTATATATACAGTAGCTGAGGAATAAAACGCACACACAAAACAGTGGTTATAATATGAAAATGTCTTCTAAATATGACCAGTCTGGCACAGAACCTTCTTTTCTTCCTCCTCAAGGTCGTCTACTTCATGTCCTCTTACCCACTGAACAAACGTGGACGTGTGTCGATCCTGATGTCGCTTCTAGACGTGGTCTAACAATTCCATTTCCAAAGTCATTTCCAGAAGACATTACTTTTCTATGATTTTTTAAAAAAAACAAATAGGCATTTACAAGACGTGCGATTTTTCTAACTCTATCATATATCGGCAACCTCTTTACATCTACGAGGCCTAGATGTGGCAAAAGTTTTCTTTTAAAAGGTTGGGGGGAAAGTTGAGAGCAGCTTTTTCAGATTATATACACGGGCCTTCTAAAAACGGCCAGTAAATCTTCCCGAAGGGTGGTCTTCCTATTGGCCAAATGCGGTACGTAATTCTCCCATTTCGATCTTCCAACGTCAACGTCTGGTAGAACGAAGACCAAGCGCCTGTGGCCCGTTAACCGCTCCACCCGTCGTCGACAGGGGCTTCGCTCAGCTTCCGGGCCCGTTAGGGCCTCTGTCCACTGTTCTCCGTAGAAGGTGAGGTTTCGTCCAATGGGGACGGATAGGTCATCCCAGGGCCCAGATCTGTGGGGCTCCAAGGCCCAAGGGTGGTCGAGCTTGCGTCCACGCAGACCCGCCTTCTCAGGCCCTGGGAGGCCCCAACGGCCGTCCGCGGCATTCGAGTGGCCGCCATTCTTCTCGCCCCGCCACACCCGACGTCCAAAGGCGCCCCGTGCCCGCTGGCTGGGCGGGGACTGCGCGCAGGGCCCGCAGAGTTGGGTCAGGGGAGTAGGCAGCCGGCGAGGTCTGGGCTCCCAGAGGCCGCCACCATTGGCGCCAAGGTGGGGGTGGGGGTGGGAGTGGGGGTGGGGAGAGCCTCGCGGCTGCCTCACGGTCTGCGCCTGGCCGGTGGACGGCTGCGGCGAGGGCGCTGGGTCTCTGCGGGTCAGAGCCCGCGACCTGTCCCGGGGCCCTCCAAGCTCCCCGGCCTCAGGCCGGCAGGTGCACTGCGCTTCTCACCTCGCTCTCTGCCGGAACTCCTTTGTTTTGTTTCTTAAGCCAAGTAAGTCAATTGAAGACAAATACCATGTGATTTCACTCCTATAGTGTATTTTTCTCTAATAGATATTTTTTCTATTTCCTTTATTCCTTACTGATTCATAATAATGAATCAGTATATATAATATATATATATAATATAATATAATCAGTATATATAATTCATTATACCATATGTGGTGTATTAACCATGGGTATAAATTCTTTGACATTTTTCCCATTAAGACATGAGGTGCTTGGCCTTTCCCTTAAATATAGGTGAGCTCTATAACTGCTTTGAATCTGTGTCAATGTCTGTGTATAGGACAATGTATTGGGACACTTTCTGGGACCTTGATCCTCTGTGAAAATCTACACTGGGGCGCCGGGATGGCTCAGTGGGTTAAGCGTCTGCCTTCAGCTGGGGTCATGATCCTCTCGCATTGGGCTCCCGGCTCAGCGGGAGCCTGCTTCTCCCTCTCCCACTACTGTTCCCCCTGCTTGTGCTCTCTCGTTCTCTCTGTCAAATAAGTAAATAAAATCTTCTTAAAAACTTTTTAAAAAAATTTAAAAAAGAAAATCTACAGCTATCCTGAGACAGCTCTGCTAGAGAGTTCACACAGAGGTGCTATAATCAACAGCCATGACTGAGGCCAGCTGTCTGAACCAAGGTGAGCGAAGCTGTCCCAAACCCAGTAGACCAGCTCATCCAACAATGAATGCCAAGTGACCTCACTTGCTGCCGATTGCAGCAAAAGAATTGTTCAAACTCTGCCCAAATCTCTGACCCACGAAATCATGAGATAGAGTAAAATGGTTGTTACTTTAAGCCTCTAACTTTGAGAATAGTTTACTATGCAGTGATAGATTATAGAAACATAAAGCAGCACCTAGAATTCAGCTGCAATTGTAGCAAAAACTAAAATATATAGCATTCCTTGGGACCAGACACCAGTAAGAAGCACAAAATGAAATGAGACCTGTATTTCTCAGTCTTCTACAGCACAGGAGGCAGGCTGAAAGGCCATTCAGTTTCAAGCACAAGCCCATTTCTCATGTCACAGAATAAGTGACTCAAAGAGCAGAGATTTTTAGATATTATACCATATAGGATTTATTCTCTGGATATAAACAAAATTTTTAAAAAATTAAAATGCAGTATGTTTTATCACTAATCATCAGAGAAGTAGAAATTTTAGCCACAATGAGCTATCACCTCCTATTACCTCATACCTGTCAGGATGGTCATTATTTAAAAAAAGAAAAAATAATAACAAGTGTTGGAAAGATGTAGAGAAACTAGAACCCTTGCACACTGTTGGTAGGGACGGAAAATAGTATAGTTACTATGGAAAATAGTATAGAGGCTCCTAAAAAATTAAAAATAGAACGACCATATGATCCAGCAATCACACCAGAAGAGTTGAAAACAGGACCCCAGGGATGTATTTGCACTCACATGTTCACTGAAACATTACTTATAACAGTCAAGAGGTGAAAACAATCTAAATGTCCACTGATGAATAAATGGGTAAAGAAAATGTGCTACATACACACAATGGGATATTATTCAGCCTTAAAAAGGAAGGAAATTCTGTCATATGCTACAACATGGATGAACCTTGAGGACATTATGGTAAGTGAAATAAGCCAGTCAGAAAAGGACAAATACTATGTGATTCAACTTATATGAGGTATCTGAAGTAAGCAAACTCATAGAGGCAGAAAGTAGAATGGTCATTTCAAGAAGTTATAAGGAGGTGAAATGGGGAGTTGCTGTTTAATGGGTATAGAATTTCAGGCTATGAAAAATGAGAAAGTTCTAGAGATCAACCATACAACATTGTACATATAGTTAACAATGTACACTTCAAAACTTGTTGAGAGTAGATCTCATGTTATATGTTTTTTTAATCACATGAAAATATATTTAACAAGGTAATGAATTTTAATATTACAACTTCAAAATATTTTCAAATAATCCAGGATACCTAATCCAATAGAAGCCATGTTTTTATATAAATTGGCTCAAAAACTTTTTTTTTTTAAAGTAGTTTCCACACCCAGCGTGGAGCCCAACATGGGGCTTGAACTCATGACCCTGAGATTAAGACCTGAGCTGAGATCGAGAGTTGGACGCTTAACCGACTGAGCCACCGGGGCACCCCACTCAAATACTTTTTTTAATAAGTGAGCTAAGAGTTAAATGAGCAATTAAAAGATCAAACAATTGAAAGATCATGGTTTAGGTTTTTGTATAGACTCATCTATAAAATGAGGGTTAAGAGCAGTTTTCTTTATACCAATAACCTTTAAAGGCAGGGATAGAATTTCATCATTCCATAACATTACAATGTGTGAGAAAATTTTGTAAGCATGTGATGACAGATGGGAAGTTTTTTAAATGGAAATAATATAGGTTCCCTTCCCTGCCATTGTTCTCAACATACGCCAAGTTATAAGAACTAACTATTATTAGCAAGACTCATTGCCTCCTGTTACCTCAATATTTCTCTCCCTTTCCCTTTCTCTCTCTCCCCGTCTCCCACCCTACACATTCCCCACACATACACAAAATTGAGGGAGTTAAGAATTGGTAATGAATCAGGGATAGTGAGAAGTTTGGCTCATTCAATCTTTGAACCCTAATCTAAGGCTCAGCATAAATACAGAAACCTATAATTTCCCCTTATTTCTTGGAATGTAGCAGGCAGAGAAGGGGGAGAGATCATTTCTGGCAATGGGATGGGAGATTCATAACCAAATACTCATTATATGTCTGTAAAAGTGCTTAATATTATATTGGATAAGCACGAGATGCACTGGTTACATTAATGAGAAACAGGAGTAATGATACTGCTTCTTGGGGGAGTAATTTTCGAGGGAGAAAGTTCTCTCTACCCTGTCTCCTTTGCCCAAAGTTCAATACTGTTAAGATAATGTAACTTTCACAGTGCCTGCTTCTGAAGGTCTATCAAGAGGAGGTAAATGTGCTGTGCAGTCAAGGTTCAAAGAACCACATAAAGTGGCAGGAATATTTTTCTCTTGATTATTCAACTCCAACCCTGAACTTCTCTATTCCTTGAAAGGCAACTTCTTGAATTCTGTTTCTGGAGGTTAAACTGATGATCCTGCATTTCCAAAGCATCTCTACCATCTCTCTTCTTGCTTTCCCCCAAAATATTGCAGGTTGATCTGCATCGTGGCCATGTGAGAAAGTCACTGGACCTGGAAGAGTCAGAATGGCTGCCTTTGATTTGCCTCAGTTTATTCTACAGGGTTCACAGGATGAAGCCTTATTGCCTCTGCTTTGGGAAAATGCAGAAGTCTGAGGCAATGTGAACCACTCTCTATTCTCATTCAAGTTAGATAGTAAGCTTTCTGGTAATACAGCAAATAAGCATACAATTTTTTTTTTTAAGTAGGCTTCATGCCCAATGCAGAGCCCAACGCGGAGCCCAAAGCAGAGCCCCACATGGGGCTTGAACTCAAGACCCTAAGATCAAGACCTGAGCCGAGATCAAGACTTGGGCGCTCAACCTACCAAGCCACGCAGGCACCCCAGCGTACTATTTTCAAATTAAAGCACTCTGTTGGGGTAACTGTGAGGTCACACAGTATAAGTAATCAGGAATACTTGTCTATCTGTGGCAAGTTACATTTATGTACATTTTTGTTTTTAATGCAGTGGCAGGGGACCACTGGTACTGGTACTTAAAGGTCACTGTCCAACTCAGCTTGGTGACTGCTTCCTGAAATAGATCCTATTTAGAGCAGAGTGTAACTTGGTGGTTAAGAGCCCAGACTGAGTCAGACAGACTGATTTGAATTTGGCTCTATATTATTTCTTAATCTGGGACAAGTGTCTTAACTTTGCCCCAGTTTCTCCATCTAAAAAATGAGGATAATAGCAGTACCTACATTCTAGGAGTGCTTTAAGGATTATATATCCCTATAAATCATTCTGAAGGGCACCCAACTCATAGTAAGTACTCAACAAATCTTAGCTGTAGTCTTTATTTTTTCCTACCTTTCTATAAGAAAGCATTTGTTACTGAATTGAAAGTACTATTTCCATGTAAATAAAGGCATGAATGTAAGACACATATTAACAAGGCTGATCTACAGCTTCTCCCTAACTTAACAATTCAGTTTCCCCTATGAGGATCATGTAGGGACTGTTAACCTGTTGTTATTTTGTAGAGGAAATCTGAGTACACGGATTTTTCCGAATCGCTGCATTTAAGTTTCATACATATAAATTCTTTGGCATCTTTCCTAGAGAAACTGGGCACTCTCTGGGGTGAGCTTGTGATTTCCAGATGCATTCAGAGAGCTCAATGCAGCTCTTATCTCCTACTGACCAGCCACAACTTGCTCTGATATTTCAAACAGGATGTAGCCCTTGGGAGGGGAGTGGATTGATGAATGTCATAGTAGTTAGCAAAGGCTTTCTTGAACTTACATCATGTTTAATTGTATCAAATGCTGTTCATTAT